GCAGCAGCAGCAGCAGCAGCAGCAGCAGCAGCAGCAGCAGCAGCAGCAGCAGCAGCAGCAGCAGCAAAGCTTGCAGATTATACGTAGCCAAGAAGGCTACAGAAACAACAGAAATGAGTCGCAGCAGCAGCAGCAGCAGCAGCAGCAGCAACAGCAGCAACAGCAGCAGCAACAGCAGCAGCAGCAGCTGTTGCTGCTCCCCAGAGAAGAGGAGGAGCAACAACAATTACAACAACTGCAGCAACAATTACAGCAGCAGCAGCAGCAGCAGCAGCAGCAACAGCAGCAGCAGCAGCAGCAGCAGCAGCAGTACCACCAACAACCATTGATGTCGACTGCCTCGGAGCAGCAACTGCAGCAGCTGCAGCAGCAACTGCAGCAACAACTGCAGCAGCAACTGCAGCAGCAACAGCAGAACGCACGAGGCGCCACAGAGCAGCAGCAGCAGCTGCAGCTACAGCAGCAGCAGCAGCAAAAACAAGAACAGCAGGACCGGCAGCAGCTAACGGAGGGGCAGCAGCAGCCCCACCGTGAACAGCAGCAGCAGCAGCAGCAGCAGCAGCAACAGCAGCAGCAGCAGCAGCAGCACAGCGACGCCGCACAGATGTATCTTCAGGGCAGTGCAGCAGCAATGAGCAGCAGCTGCAGCAGCGCAGCAGCAGCAAACTGGGGGCCTGTCTACCTCCCTCTTCCTCTACCCTGCAGCAGCAGCAGCAGCAGCAACAGCAGCAGCAGCAGCAGCAGCAGCAGCAGCAGCGGCAGCGGCGGCAGTAACAGCGGCTGCGCCTGCGGAATGCCGGGGTGTATTGGCTGCTGCAGTGCCTACAGCAACAGCAGCAGCAACAGCAGCAGCAACTGCTACAGCAGCTACAGCAGCAGCTGCAGCAGCAACTGTTGCAGCAGCAGCAGCTGCAGCAGCAGCAGCTGCAGCAGCAGCAGCAGCTGCTGCTGCTGGGTGGATGATGAGATGGGCTCTGTTCAGGAGACAGTAAGTGTGTGCGAAGGCAACAGCAGCAGCCGCAGCACCAGCAGCAGCAGCAGCAACAGCAGCAGCAGCAGCAACAGCAGCAGCAGCTCCTTTAAGGGGCATTTCTGCTTCTCCTTCGATGCTGCTGCAGCAGCAGCAGCAGCAGCAGCAGCCGCAGCAGCAGCAAACGATACAGTGCCGTCTCCCCCT